GATATGGCGTGTCGGAAACGGCGAACGTGGAGAGTCCGCCCATTTTTCTATGCCCTACATCTGCGTGTCAGCACGGGCACTGTTCTTGGATTTATTCCTTACGGTGTTTCAATGACGTGTCCTTTTGTCTACTCCTTGTACGGGAATTTTCTCTTATGTCTTTAATCTCCCTAATTTTCTAAAAAATCATTGGATTCCTTGTTCTGTGCCAAAGATAGCGTGGAACTCTTTTTGCTTTTTTTTGCCTCGAGTTGTTCTCTTATCCTGCTCATCTCTTTCGTATTATCCCCCATACGTTGTCCCTTTGCCTAGGTTAGCTATTAGATGGTAGCAACAAACAACGGTCAGGTTGCGATGACGATTCTCAAGGCTCGCTTTGGAAGTGATGTGCGAAAATCGATGCTACACCATGCGAACGATCTCACACTCAACGACCTTACCCTCATGATTCAAAGGATTTTCAAGATTGGATCTGCTGAAGCCATCGTGTTGAAGTATAAAGATTCGGGTATGTTTCGAAAATTATTTAGATCGTAATGTACATATTTGCGGAAACTTGGTGTGTTTGCGGTTTTAAGGTTGTGATCATAACTTGAATTTTTGGTTAATTCTTTTTAAATTTATTAATGATGAGATAACTTAAATTTAGTTTTCTTATAAATATTAGAGATTTGGTTTTGTTTCGTAGAAGTTTACTAACTGCGCCTGCATTTGAGGAAGTGGAAACGGCATAATGAAGTCAAATTCCATAACGAACTCATTATTTTGATAATCAAAAGGCGACTATTACTTGCCGGATAATTCTCATCCTGTTTCAAGCCTATGCTCTTCAAATGTTCTCTTGCGATACAGCGAAGAAAAGCAAAATGGCGTGATATTATTGCACTATCATGTATATTCATGAGCGGTGATGGCTAAACAGTAGTAGTTACTCTGTTTTATACTTTTTTGGGACGGGAAAAGCTTAGTTAATGTTTCATTTCTAAAATTTTTTTCTTTTGTCTGTGCTTAGTTTTTTTAATAAGCGGAGACTGATATCGATATTCTCAAGACATTACGCGATGCTTTTCTGATATAACAGATGCACATAATCTGCAATGCAAATATGGCGTTAGTGGAGTCAGCCTTTACGAAAAAAATCTACATCTTCCTTTACTTTTTTGATTCTAGAAGGTGACCTGATCACGTTATCTGACGATTCTGATCTTCTACTTGCCTTACAGTCGGAACAAAATTTGAAGATCGATGTCTCACTCGATAGTAAGGCTATCGCCGAACTGACCGACATACAGCAGCAAGTTGTACAGATTCAGGTCGGTCATAATTTTTTTTAAGGTTACTGTTAATCGTCCAGAACTTTCTGCAAGAAATTTTTTTTTCCAAGTGTTGCATGGATACTAAGTTTTGTTTTTATCTCCAAGATTGTGTCAAAGGGGAGTTATAATCAATAAAAAGGCTATGCCATTGTTCCGTTAAGGCCTTTTTACACAAAGTTTCCATGAAATATTTGATTCTTGTCATAAATAAATTATGTTTCACCACAAACGTCAAGAAGGCGTTCA